AATGTCCTGGGGGCTTGGACCCTAAACTCAAGCTTGGTCCTGTTTCAGGCACCTTGGCTTCCCCCAAGCTAATTGTCAGCTGTAAGAAGGAGGAGAGAAAATAGTCAGACACACATGTTCAGCCCTGGGGACCCAGGCACTTGTGAAGATCCTTGCACCTTTTAAATATCCCCATGCCTAAAAAAGTATAACATTGAATAGCAAAAACAAAAATAAACCAAAAAATGCCAGGAAACGTCAAAAGTAGAACCACTAAAGACAGGACAGACTTTTGCCTGCTTTTGAACAAGGAGTGACATAGTTTCATTCTGCACTGGGCCCCTCAAATTATGTAGCTGGCCCTAGAAGAGTGATGCTTATTTCTAAACTTTAAGAAACTGTAAGAGGCATCTGTATGCCAGGATCAGTGGCTCTTGCCTGTAATCCAAGCTACTTGGGAGAAAAGAGATAGAGAAGATTAAGGTTTGAGGACAGCCTAGGCAAAGAGTTTGAGAGACTCCACCTCCAAAATAACCAGAGCAAAATAGGCTGGAGATGTGGCTCAAAGGATAGAGTGCCTGTTTTGCAAGCTCAAAGTCCCAGAGAGAGAGAGAGAGAGAAGATTTAAGAGCTTAGCACTTGGGAGGCTGAGGCTGAGGCAGCTCAAGCAGGAGGACTGAAGAGTTCCAGACCTGTCTGGGCTACATAGTGAGACCCTGTCTCAAAACTGTAAGGAGCTGCTGAACAAAGACCGCACCATGTGTAGAAAATGAAGGTTTATTGGGGCACAGATTGCCAGGCTGACACTTGGGTTCAGAGTGCAGCAGCTCAACTGGATTGGGTAGTGGGTTTTATAGGAGGGGCCATCAGACAGAGGAGGGAGGGTATCCTTCCTAAAGAACAGCAAGGCCACTGTTTGTCAGTGATCACCAGGTGGAACAGGCTGATATCTGTGGTTATTTGAAAAAACAGGAAGAGGGGGATGTTTTGTAAGCAGGGGAATTTTGTAAACAGCCACAGTTCAGGGGATCTGGTTAATGACAGCCTCGGGACTTTCCGACTTTCCAACCGCCCTGTGGGGGCCAAGGACCTAACAAAAACAAAAATAAAACCAAACTAAACAAACAAACAAAGAGTTGAAAATGATGGCCTCATAATGGCAATATAATTATATAATTGAAATATAACTAGTTTTTTTCCCTTTGAGCAGGGTCTGTTGTCCACATTGGCCTTGAACTCCTGGGCTCAATCAAGCAATCTTTCTGTCTCCCAAGTAGCCGAAACATCAACTGCACCCAACTAGGGATAGGTATATAACTTTCACGAAGACAAGACCTTTGTCTGTGTTGGTGAAACTTCTATAATACAAAGCTTGGCATATGTTTGCTATTAAATACTTATTAATTTAAATTAATGGAATATAATTTTATTTCAATCTAGTAAAAGATATCTTAAAAATGGAAGCAACTTGAATGTCCTGGAAAACTAGTCAAATAAGTATGATATACTTGTCCAATAAGATACCGAGTAGCTGTGTAAAATAACAAGGATGTTCTTTAGGTACAGCTAAAGAAAGGTTTCCAAGATAAATGTTACCATGTATGTTTTTGAAAGAAGGCATGGAAGGGCTGAAGGCATTGGTCAACTGGTCAATACTGTCTAGCAAGTGCAAGGCCCTGAATGCAACCTCCAGTATCTACCACCAGTAAATAAAGAGGAGGCAGGGGAGCTAAATACTCTCTAGTTATCTCATACAATGACTTTTTCCTGGAGCTCCCTCTAGTGGTAAACTGCACACACAGGAAAGATTCAGAGAAAATATAAATTGGCTTTGGATGGTTGGGAGATTTTCAAGGTATGGTCTTGTTTTATAAGAATTAATTTTTTAAAAAAAGTACAAGAGAGGGCTGGAGGAATTACTCAAGTGGTATAGTACCCTGAGTTCAAACTCCAGTACCAAAAACAAAAGTACAAGAGACCTATGCTAGGCATTAAAGTGGAATTATGCATTAAGTTGCTAACATAAGCGTAAGTTATCATTTCTGATGACAAATATTGTAAAGATGTGTATTTTATACAATATGTGGAAATGTTTTTATGGTACTGTTACTTGGGTAAGATAACTCTTACATATGAACAGCATGTTAATTAGCACATATATCATTGCTTTTAGAATATGTGGCTTTGCATATATGACTGCAATACATGGCCTGTCATTAGACAGGGTAAGAAATGCATTTTTTGTGTGTGGTACTGGTGTTTAAACTCACCTTGAGCCACTCCACTAGCCCTTTTTTTGTGATGGGTTTTTTTTTTTTTTTTTCCCAAGATAGGGTCTCCTGAACTATTTGCCTGAGCTGGCTTTGAAACTGAGTAGCTAGGATTACAGGTGTGAGCCACCAGCACCCAGCTGAAACCTCTTTTCTTTGATGTTGGAGATTGTAACTGAAATTACTGAGGGCAGCAATAAGCCCCAGAAGCAACTTGCAAAATCATGTAACATATACTCCCCAAATCAACTAAAATAACATTTAAAGGCTGACAGAAACGACCAGCTGTGGTCAACACTAGGTGATTTCACCTCTTAAGACACATCTACATCATGCTCCATCCATGTCCAGCAAAATCTGATGACCCTAGAGTCTGTCTTTCTATATATAGCCCTCTGCCTGGCTTCATTTTCCTGCTTCTCTCCTCCTTTCCTTGCAAACATCATGCTTGCCCAAGGACCATGTCATCCAGATAACTTCTGGTCAGTTCCAGAGGGCACAAAGGGTTATAAAAGGAACTCATCAGAAATCCTGTAGTGTAGTGTCTACAAGTGCCAATCCTGGAGCTAGAAAACCTGGTTTGAAATCCCAGCTCTGCCACTCCCTAGCAGTGTGACCTTGGGCAAACTCCTGTACCTCTTTTGTTCCTCAACTTTCTCATCTGCAAAACAAGGGTGATAATCACTTAGCATTTGTTTTACTGTTGTGAGTAAAGGAGTTAATGTATGTAAATTGATGAGCACAGTGGCACCTGGGAGGACTCAGTAAGGTGGTTGGATTTGTGGGGTTGATTTTTTTCAAAGATGCTGTGATTTCTTCAAAGAAGCTCAGATCAGCTGACTAGCTCCTGACCTCTCTGCCCCCACCCCCTACGCAACCGCCATCCTTATCACCCATTCAGCCTTTGTCAGCTGTCCTGGTACTGGGCAATTCCAAGTACCCTACCGTCCAAACCTTGCCTAGGAAAGTATCTGAATATGCCTAACTCTCCGATCTGAACATGTATTATGGAGTAAGAGCACTCAGGTATCTTCTAGGTTCTAGAAGGAGAGAACTTCCATTTGAGAGTAAGCCACTCCTTTCCCTAGGGGGTTTACCCCTTGGACCTTGACTTTCACCCTCACAGCTCCAGAGCAGCCAAAACCTGTTCATACCCAAACTTCAGTTGCCTTGGAGGGAGAAAGAATAAGCAAGTCACTGGCAGAGTGCCTTAAGTGGTAGAGTCCCACTCAACCATTGGACTATTGGAACACAACTGTGACTTGACTGTATATCTTTTGTCCCCTGCCCCTAATTATTTGTCTATTTAAAGCTAAAGCTCATGTCTGTACCCTGAATATGGCTAAAGATGGGCTGAGTGCTTACTTTGCCTGTTCCCACAATATGTCCTGAGCCGTGCAATAAATCTTCTTTCTGCTGGGTGCCAGTGGTTCACACCTGTAATCCTAGCTATTCTGGAGGCAGAGATCCGGAGGATCATGGTTTGAAGCCAGCTGGGACAAATAGTTTGGGAGACCCTATCTCAAAAATACACAATATGAAAAAGGCCTGGTGGAGTGGCTCAAGGTGTAGGCTCTGAGTTCAAACTCCAGTACCATAAAATAAAATAAAAATAAATCTCCTTTCTCTGCCCAAGACCATGTCATCCAGATAACTTCTGGTCAGTTCCAGAGGGCACAAAGGGTTATAAAAGGAACTCATCAGAAATCCTGTAGTGTAGTGTCTACAAGTGCCAATCCTGGAGCTAGAAAACCTGGTTTGAAATCCCAGCTCTGCCACTCCCTAGCAGTGTGACCTTGGGCAAACTCCTGTACCTCTTTTGTTCCTCAACTTTCTCATCTGCAAAACAAGGGTGATAATCACTTAGCATTTGTTTTACTGTTGTGAGTAAAGGAGTTAATGTATGTAAATTGATGAGCACAGTGGCACCTGGGAGCACAGTGGCACCTGGCATATGCGGGGAGTGACCTGACCTGACAGGTGGAAGCCCAGGAGTTTGAGCCTAGGGTACAAAACTCTGGTTTCATGTTGACTGACAGTTGCTGATTCTCTTCCCCCTTGCTTGCCTCTTTGGGTGTAAGTGACCCTCGACTCTTGATGTCCATCTTAGGAGTGAGAAGCTAAATAAACCTGAGTGACTTGTCCCATATCTGATCATAAGGAAGGGAGTTTGGATTTGCAGTAGGAGAGAGGGAGTTTGAGATCAAGATGAATGAATCACTGGTAATGACAGTTGTGAGACAATAGAACTAGGAAGCCAAGGCTAAAATTTTCTTTTCTTTCTTTTGTTAAGAGCCAACAATAATTGTTCTCCCTTTGCTAGTTCCTAGAGATGAGAGGAATGGAAGGAACCTTACAGATTCCATGAACAAGCCTCTTCAAAGGTCCAGTGACTGATCAATCCCTCTGACCAACCCCTAGGTGCCCCCTCTGAAGCTTGGTCGGGAGGGAGAAAGGGAGAAAGACCCAGTACCAGGCAGCCACTGCTCCATTGCTTTGGAAGGGGGTGGGGAAGGCAAACCCTGGTCATCCCATCTGTCTGTAGCCCTTTTGTGTAAGTGCCTGACAAAGGTGACGTGGAGCTGTTCCTACGGGCACAGCTGTGGCAATGCCCGGGGTGGAGGCAGGGCCCAGGCAGCAGTGCCCTCCCAGATCCTCCCTTCAGGCTTCTCAGGGGTAGGAAACATGTGGCCCAAGGGCCTCTGCTTGGCCTAACCCTACCAGGGGACTCTGCCCCCAGTAGCAGTGGAGATGGCCTGTTTATGGAGTTCCTCTCTGTCCAGTTGCCTTCTCACCCTCCTCCTCCTCCAGCTGTCCTCCAGCTATGCAGGTAAGATGTGTTTATTCCTGCCCTGCCAAGACCTAAGAACAGAAAGGCAAGTTTCCTGGGCTCCCCCATCTCCAGTCATCCTCGAATGGCTATATGAGTTATCTTTCTAAAACCTAGATCTCCTGACAGATCCTTCTTCCTGGTTCCTTTCAGAGTAGAATCTAAACTTTTTTCCACCAGGTGATCAAACCCTGGACCTAATGCAAGCTAAACACAAGCTCTACACTGAGCTGGGCATTTAGGCCTAGCTTTGGTTTTTCACCTCAAATGGGGACAAAATAATAACCTCTTAGAGTTGATGTCAGTGTAAATGAGATGAGATACATAACATGCTTAGCAGTGCCTGTTTGTAGTAAATTCCAATAAATGTTTGTTGAGTTATAATATCTTGTTGTGTTTGGAAGCTTGCACCGCATAATCAGGCACCTATGAGTGTTTATACAGCAGCCCTGTCCCCATACATGGAGGAAAAATAAAAGAAACAGAAGCCAGAGTCTCTGCCTCAGAGAGCCATCTGAGGATAGAGGAGGCCAAGTCCACATGCTCCCTAAGGAATTCCTTACAGGTCTAAGAGCAGAAACCAGCCTTTTCTCCTAGTAGCTCAGTCTCCCTTGGGAAACATGACCAACATAGGAAAAAGTCTGGGAAGATGCTCAAGAGCAGAGTCCAGAGTGGGAGTGAGGTTGAAGGTATGGAGGGTAAACAGGAGTGAAACAGAACAGCCCCTTCTACCCCAGAATGGAAGATCTCAGCAGAGAATTTGGGGGACGAGATATGAATAAAGACAAAGAACTGGGAAGTGGTGGAGAGGGAGTTAAAGTTGATTGAGTGACAAAAGCAAAACCTCTAAGGGGAAAGTAGCAATCAATTTGGCCTTGACCAAACAGGGAGGCCCAAGGGTGAAATTAAACTTCAAGATGCTTGAAATGGGCTGGACTGAATAGCAGAAAGGTGGCCAACAGCTGTCAAGACCATCACATGCTAAATGTTCTGTTCAGGATACTTACAACATATCTGTAATTAGAGATAATTTTTGTTTTGTTTTTAGTATGTGCTCTGGGGAAAAAAAATGAACTCCTTAATTTCCATTTAAAAATTAAGTGTCCTCTTCCTTCCCTGTCTTGAAGTGATCTTCCCATGATGCACTTGCTTGTCAAGGCTCCCTCTGACCCTCAGTTGTTTTTTTTTAATTTGGTGTCTTGGACAGGACAGTTCAGAGTGATAGGACCAGGGCACCCCATCAGGGCTCTGGTTGGGGATGAAGTGGAACTGCCATGTCGCATATCTCCTGGGAAGAATGCTACCAGCATGGAGGTGGGGTGGTACCGGCCCCCCTTCTCTAGGGTGGTTCATCTCTACCGAAACGGCAAAGACCAAGAGACAGAGCAGGCCCCTGAGTATCGAGGCCGGACAGAGCTGCTAAAAGACACTATTGGTGAGGGAAAGGTGACCCTCAGGATCCGGAATGTGAGGTTCTCAGATGAAGGAGGTTTCACCTGCTTCTTCCGAGATCATTCTTACCAAGAGGAGGCAGCAATGGAATTGAAAGTGGAAGGTGAGTCATGCCATATAATGTGAAGTAGTATCTGTGGGATGGCCAAGACCTCCCCTTGAGACTTCTTTCAGTTGAGATGAGATCAACCCAAACATTTCACGCCTGGGAATCAATTCCATAAAAATATACACATTAGTAAACTTTTATGTTCACAGATGTCTGATGCATCATTGTTTGGATTGGGAAGGAAACTGGAAAAAAAGTCAATGCCCATGAGTAGGGAAGTGACTAAATAAACAATGGTATCTGCACCATGAATATTGTGCAGCTATTAAAAAGATTGAGAGCCATTCCAGATGGCTTGGAGGCATTCCATGAGGAATTGTTGAATGATAAAAGCAACCTACAAAAAATGGGGACTGAAACCATGATCCTGTGTTTGTGAGCATGTATATATACACTCTTATCATATACATATTACACTCACTTGTATTTACATACATGTACACTCACTAATATACACATATATATATATATTCAGAATATATACACATATTCAGAGAAAAATATGAAAGGATACAAACAAGAATATGGATCACTCTGGTGGAAGGAGAGGAGGGAAAATAGAACCATGATCCAATCAAAAAGTAATAATAATAACTCAACGGCTGGAGGCATGGCTGTAGTGGTAGAGCACCTACTTAGCAAGCATAAAGCCCTGAGTTCAAACTCTAGTACCACTACTCTCCCTCCCCAAAATTATCCATAAAATTATATTTATCTATTCATATGAAAATACATTAAAAGGCAGGCATAGTGGTGCGCACTGTAATTGCAGCACTCTGGAGGTAGAGGTAGGAGGATCTGACTCTGAGGCAAGCCTGGGCTACATAGCAAAACCCTGGCTCAAAAATAAATAAGTAGCTGAATACCTGTGGCTCACACCTGGAATCCTAGCTACTCAGGAGGCAGAGATGAGGAAGATCACCTTTCGAAGCCAACCCCAGGCAAATAGTTCATGAGACCCTATCTAGAAAAAAACCCATCACAAAAAATGACTGGTAGAGTGCCCAAGTAGTAAGAATGCCTACCTTGAAAGTGTGAGGCCCTGAGTTCAAATACCAGCGCCTCCAAAAAGAAAAAATAAATAAAACTATATGCATTTGTGGGAAAGATTAAAGAATTTATTTTAAAAGCAAGGCAGAAAAGATGAGAAATAGAGGCAGCAAAAATAAAAAATGATCACTTTCTGATTATTTTGTTACCACAGGAGAATATGAATAATCTGAAAGTTAATCCAAATATCCAAGTGGACTTTTTGGTTTTTTTGGTGGGAATGTGGGTTTGAACTCAGGGCTTCACACTTGCAAAACAGGTACTTTATCACATGAATCATACCTCCAATTCATTGGCTTTGATTATTTTGAGATGGGGGGTCTCACAAACTTTTTACCTGGGCTGACCTCAAACCATGATCCTTCTGATCTCAGTCTCTCAAGTAGCTAGAATTACAATTGTGATCCTCCTGTGCCCAGCTCTTTTTCTATTTTGCTTTGGAATACCTTTTGGTTATAAAATGTTATAAATGCTGACATCATTCCTAAGGATGATCAAATTCTAATGCAGTGAATTCCTCAGTTGATGTTGAAAGGCATTTACCTATTAAAATACAGTCCAGTGAATGATCAAGTAAAGCAAATATCTAAATATAGTTACAGAAAAAAAAGAGATGTCACCTGTGGGTTTTACCTTCACTGCTTCAGTTCTCCAGAACTCTTATGTTCAGTATTTTCCTTTGCTGGATGATTTGGGAGCTTATGCATTTATATATGTATTTATTTATTCATTCTGTCTCAGGATGGTTAAAGTGTGGCAAGGTAAAGTACACAGAGGGAACTTTGAAAGTTAACTGCTATTTCATTGAAGAACCAGAAATGTTCTGAGAGCTAGAGCCTCAAATCCTCCTTTCCCCCACTCCCCACCTGCAGTGCAAACATCAGACAATCTGTTGCTCTTGTCCCTGGAGTGGGGGTGACTGCTGCAGTGTTGGGACCAGAAGATAGCATTGTACGCAGAATAACAAAGCACTATTTCTAGAGACAGATTGCAGTGACATGAAAATAGCTCTGTGTGTCACGGAATGTTCTTCAGACAGCTGTTTTTACTGGGAAACTTTTATCAGCAAAGAAGTCAGAGAGCGAGGGCTTCAGTTTACAGATTTTCTTCCTTCCTGCTCAAATTCATAATTCAATAACTGCCTTCCCCAACACACTCCCTGAGGCCCACCATCACAACAGAAAAACAGAGAGACAGAGACAGATAGAGAGGAGGAAGGGAGTAAAAAAAAAAAAAAAACTGAAACCTTTGCCTCAGGGGAGAAAATTTTCCTTTCATCTGGTTTCCACATTCCAAACCTCTTCCTCCCAACTGGAAATCTGCATGCCATGCCTAAGGATTTAATTAAAAAAAAAAAAAAAAAAAAAGACTACTAGGCATCACTTGGCTACCTGGGGGAGCCACCCTAGACAAATTTAGGAGATCAATGCAGTAACTATATTTTTGTAAGTTCAGGTGTAATTTCCTCCTCCAATCTTTCTTTTTTGGACTTTATTTGTGTGTGTGAGTTTATTACTAGTCTCTAATCCTTTCTTTAAACTCTTCTTTGTGAAAACTTAAAAACAGCAAGAGATGGACATGGTGACAAAGGACTATAATCTCAGCACTTGGGACACAAGGCAGGAGAATGACAAGTTCAAGGCCAGCCCAGGCTAGAATGAGATCCTGTCTCAATACACACACACACACACACACACACACACACGAGTAGAGAAAATACATCTCCTGGCTGCAGCAGTTATCAAACCAAGGCCAGCCCGATTCCCACTTATAGTCATCCACCCCTACTGAGTTGCTGAAGCAAATCTCAAGAGCATTCTTCCATTGCTAAATGCTTGAGCATCTATCACTTAAATGTAAGAACTCTTCAAAAACTCTACAATTCTTTAGTATCATCAAAAATCCAATTTGTGTTCAAGGTTTTCTGATGGTCTTATAAATGTATTTTTATGATTTATTTGAGTATGATCCAAACAGACTCTGCACACTGGTGCTTGCACTTAGGGTTTCCCACAATCTGAATTTTGCTGGCTACATTCCTGTTTGCTATTTAACACAGTCCTCCATGCCCTATATTTCCAGTAAACTAGAGGCAAAGTCAGATCCAGGCTTGATTTATTTTGGCAAGCATTTTTTCCACAGATGATGTTAATATATTTCTTACCGCTTTACATCAAGAGGCTGATAGTCCTTGTATGCACATGTGAATAATTAAAAAAAAAGGATTAATGTCCAAAAAATTAATCACACAAAAGCCAAATAATCCAATTATACATGGCCAATTAAAACATGAAGAAATATTCAACATCCTTAGTTATAAAGGAAATGCAAGTAACATTGATATTCCAAAAAAAAAAAAAAAAAGAGGCTGATAGTGTCTGTTCTTTTTTTTTGCTGTACTAGAATTAGAGAACTCAGGGCCTTAAGTTTGCTAGGCAGGCACTCTTACCACTTGAGCCATGCTCCCAGTCAGCCCTCTTATCTCTTTTTTGGGTGGGAAGTGGGGGTGGGACTGCGGTATGAACTCAGGGTTTTGGGCTCACTTGAGGCACTCCTCCAATCCATTTTGCTCTGGTTATTTTGGAGATGAGGTTTCATGAACTATTTGCCTGAGCTGGCCTGGAACTCTGATCCTCCAGATTTCAGCCTCCCAAGTAGCTACAATTACAGGTGTTGCCACGCTCCTCTTATCTCTTTTAATGGTTCTAATATTTTGTGAAAGTATAAGAAGTGTGCAAGAAAAAGGAAAGAATGGATGAAGTAGAGGAGGGAAAAAAAAAAAAAGAACGCTTAAGTATGTAAGGACACCTTTTCCTAACCATGAGTTCCAGTCAGGGTTCAACTAGCCTAGGATCAAAAATATTCAGGAAAAAAATTACATGTACAGAACATGTGCACTTTTGTTCTTTTCATTATTCCCTAAACAATATAGGGTAACTATATACATTGGTTTTGGTATTATAAATAATCTAGAGATTACTTAATATGGGAGAAGGTTGAGGTTGTAACCCAGTTGTAGAGGCTCTTGCCTAGCATACTCTGCTCTGGGTTCCATCCCCAGCACTGCCAAAAAATAAAAGAAAGTACGTGGGAGGATATGCATAGGACACAAGCAAATACTTTGGCATTTTAAGTGAGTGACTTGAATACCCATGGATTTGAGTATCCAAGGGGGTCCTGGAGCCATTCCCCCAGGGTTACCAAAGATACAAAAGGATGACTATATCTGCTAAATTACCTTGTCACAGGTAACTTCCAATAAGAACTTAAAAGTAAGGCCAGTTATTATGTTACATACCTGTAATCCCAGCACACAAGAGCAGGTACTCTACCACTTGAGTATTTGTGAGTGTACTGGGGTTTGAACTCAGTCTTTATGCTTGTGAGGCAGGAGCTCTACCACTTGAGCCATGCCTCCAGTCCAAGCCTGTGATTTTTTTTTTCTTTGAAGTACTGGGATTTGAACTCAGGGCCTACACCTTGAGCCACACCCACCAGCCCTTTTATGTTTTTTTTTTTTTTTTTGCAGTACTGGGGTTTTAACTCAGGCCCTACACCTTGAGCCACTCTGCCAGCCACTTTTTGTGGTAGGGTCTCTCAAACTATTTTCCTGGGCTGGCTTTGAACTGTGATCCTCCTGATCTCTGTCTCTTGAGTAGCTGGGATTACGGGCGTGAGCCACTGGCACTCAACAATGATACAGGATTTTTCAATAGGTCTCTCCAACTATTCACCCAGGCTGGCTTTGAAATGCGATTCTCCTAATCTCTGCCCTCTGAGTAGCTAAGATTACTGAAGTGAGCCACCAGTGCCCATCAAGCCAGTGATTCTTATTGATAGCAACATTACAGATGCTGTTCATATTATTGTGCTAGATTGCCTGCAAACATAATTAAAAGAAAGACTAAATTTTGGCTTGGTGTCAGTGGCTCACATCTGTAATTCTAGCTACTCAGGAGACAGAGATCAGGAGGATAGCAGTTAAAAGCCAATCCAGGCAAATAGTTCTCGAAACCCCACCTCAAAAAAGGGCTAGTAGAGTGGCTCAAGCAGTCAGAGCGCCTGCCTAGCAAATATGAGGCCCTGAGCCTGAGTTCAATCTCCCCTAAATTTTGGTTTAAAGGTTACTAAAAATAAATGTGTACTTTTTTTCCCATTGATGTTCATAATCCCTTGGCTTCTTATACCACATTTCCTCATTACCATGGTGTCTTAACTGAACTCCCTGCCTCCTCTAGCTCTGCATTGTCAGCTTGGAGCCTGTGAAGTGCACCTGTAGCCTGAAGGATCTGATCTAAGTGTCTTAGCTGGTTTTCAAAAATGACCACTTGTCATTCTGAATCACTAGCCCTTTCTGGAAACAAACCCTTCAGGGCTAAGCTCTGGCATCAACTCTGTATCACCTTCCTGAACCTTGGTGACATTCGTTTCTTTATTCAACCCAATTTATGGAGTCCCAGGTGCTGTGCTGGGTGTTGGGGAAACAGACTGGACAATGAGAGTTGTGCCTTTCAGATCCCTTCTACTGGATCAATCCTGGGGTGCTGGTTCTCATCGCAGTGCTGCCTTTGCTCCTCCTGCAGATTGCTGTGGGCTTCGTCTACCTCTGCCTGCAGCACAGACTGAGAGGTATGGACAGAGGCCGGGCCCATCAGGATCCTTCCCTGAGCCTTAGAACTAAGCCACTTAACATTTATTTTTTAAGAAACTCTGGGTTCAGAACTCCAGGTCAAGTTTCACATCTCACTGAGTGCTCGCATATGGATAATAGAGCTCTGCATTTCCCTAGCAGGTAAGCCCCATTTTACAGAGGTGGCAATTGAGGGCAAAAGTAACAAACCTCCTACCCCTCTAAGTATTCTCTCCAATGGTAAAGCACAAGGACTTTTGCCCCTTCCCTCCTGATACTAAGAGGATAAAGCAGCAAGAACTTGGGGCATGTGGAAGTGGGTCAGGGACAAAAGAAGTTTTTTTGGTTTGTTTTGCTCAGGGCCTGGAGCAAAACTCTTAGGTTCTCCAAGCCTCAGTTACCTTGTCTGTCAACACTCAGTCTCCTAAATTGTAGCAGACAATGTCATGCAAAATGCCTAGTCACAGACATGAAGTAGTTCTCCCTCCTTTATTCAGATAGTGGCTTTTGATTTACAGAACAATAACCCAGTAGGGTGGAGTAGCAATGTGAACTGAGAACTAAAAAGAGCCAAGAGCAGTGAGGCACTAAAACGTTATGATGGTTTGAAGGATGGCTGCTTACTGAGGTTGGGTCCTGAAGAAAGTTCTATACCCTTTATTTCACTGCATAATACGGACAGTAGCCAGGGAGAGAGCCTGAACTCTCAGTTTCAAACTTAGTGCTCGTGCCACCTGCCAGGCTGCAGAGAAGCAGCCTGCACAAATGTCCAAGGCACTAGGTGTGAGGGGTCCCATCTCATACCAGAGCAAGAACTGAAAATATTGCCTTTTTCTATTTTAGGAAAACTTCGAGCAGAAATAGGTGAGTTCCAGGCACCCTCCCTCTCCAAATCCTACAGTCTGGTCTTCTGACATAAGGAAAATGATCATCTTCTCAGACTATCTCTGCCTATTCTCAAATACCCCGTGCTCCCTTCTGTTGGGAAATTATTTAAAATTAACCAGCCAAAAATTGTAGACAATTCCACTGCTCTCCCCTGCCTTCAGCCAGGGTAGAAGTAAAATCCTACAGCTTGCCTTACTCTATCATGTATCAGGACTGGAACCAATTTTAAGTGATTAAATAACAAAGATTAGAAGGAGAAAGGATTCCCTTTGGGTGCCCTACTAAACCCATTTCTTTTTCTTCCTCTTTCAGAGAATCTCCATAGAACTTTTGGTAAGTGTAAGAAGTATCCCGGCCCTCCCATCAACTTGCTCTTTCCCTTGGGTTCCAGTCACCTGAGGGAACAAGTACCCTTGGCTCCTGGTAGGTCCTTTCCCTCTTTCTTTGACTAAATCAGCCATTTGCATATAGAATTGGTAAGATAATAGCAAATATTTACATATCACTTTTATGTCCGCACTATACCAATAACTTTACAACTGTTAACTATGTAGGTACATTTTCGTATTTTTAGGAATTACAAAAGGCAGGTAAAAAGATCCTACAGTATTTAATGAACTTTCATGAATACAGACAGACCAAGTAACTCTACCTGACTGGATAAGGAAGGCTTCTTGAAGGAAGAGTAAAGCCACCAACCCCCCTAGAAAGTTAATCCTCAAGGATATGGTGTTTATTCCAGAATGCCCAGAGTCTAAGGGCAATGGTAACAACAGAAGAGTGCCCAAATATTTGAATAAATTTTCTAGAAATTAGATAGCATTAGGTGGAATACATATGCTCCCTGCTCTGAGCAACATTTGGAAATGGCCTTTCTTCCTGAGGCTGAGAGAGATTCTGTCTGTCCTTGAGCCACAGCTCCAGTCCACTTTGCTTTGTTATTTTGGAAAGGGGGTCTTGGGAACTATTTGCCCAGGCTGGCCTGGAACCTTAATCCTCCTGATCTCAGCCTTCCAAGTAGCTAGGATTAAAGGTGTGAGCCACAAGTGCCGGCCTTAACTCGTTTTGTGTCATAAATGGATCCCTTCCAGAATGTTCTTCTTTTGATCAAATCCAGGATCTCAGGCACGCTAGGTAAATGCTCTACCACTGAGCCATATCCCCAGTCCTCAGAGTGCTTTTAAACACATATTTAACACATAGAATTACAAAGAAAATCATTGTATTGAGATAGTTATGAACATATTAACAAATTTGACATTTTTAAGAGCAACACATTAAATAACAATGTAGCAGGCAATTTTAATTTTAAAATAAAACGTATCTTGGGATTTCTACAACTGTAATGAAAACATCTGTGGCTTCCATTGCTGATGAAGTCACAGGTACTGCTTTTTTTTTTTTTTTTTGGTGGCACCTAAGGCCTCTAGCAGGCTACACAAATGCTCTATGGTTGACCCCATCTCCAAGCTACACACACTTGGTGGTACTAGGGGATGAACTCATCAGGGACTTGAAAAGCAGGTGCTCTACCACTTGATTCACACCCCTAACCCCTAGCACTTATATTTTTAATAGAAGAAAATGCAAAACCAGTTAGGGTTTACTGAAAATAACGATGTAGTGCTTTTCTCATCCAAGTTCTTTGATTCCCAGGATTCTGTCCCAAGTCTTCTTCAGGTTAAGAAGTAAGGAGAAGGGTGAGTGGGGCATAAAGGGAAAGAGATTAACCCTTTTTATTCTGGTGAACAATTTTCAGATCCCCACTTTCTGAGGGTGCCCTGCTGGAAGATAACCCTGTTTGTAATGGTGCCAGTTCTTGGACCCCTGGTTGCCTTGATCATTTGCTACAACTGGCTACACCGAAGACTAGCAGGTGCAGTGGTGGGACAGCATAAGGACCTCTGAGCAGTGGGGAACCAAGGCAGCCCTGAGTGGAAAACAAAAGAGTGCAACTGGGGCTCAAGATCTGAGCTAGGATTTCCTTCCTCCCCTTTCTCCTTGCTCATCCCCAAGTCCCTCAGAGAAATGGTGAAGAAAACCATTTACTGAGATCTGTGGGGTCCCTCAGTGGAAAGGGAGGGTATGGTCAGTCCAAGTGTCCAGTGGGAGGATGTGAGGGAGGGAGGTAATCATCTCCCCCGAATACCCACCTGTTTCTCTTTGTTTGCAGGACAGTTTCTTGAAGAGCTAAGTAAGTTTTCTTCTTTCTTACAAGCTGAGAACAAAAAGTCAGGAAAGGGAGACAAAGCAAGAGGAAGAGGGGAAGGGAACTGAGGGATCACAATCTCCTAGGAAAGGAGGGGCTGGAGAGCAGAGGTAGAGGGAGGACCCTTCCAGAAAGCGAGAAGGGGAGGCGGCAGCTGTTGGAGACAAATTTCCAGGTGGCACAGAGGGAAGCTAGGCCACTCACACCTGCTACCTGATTTGCTCCACCTTCAGTGCCCCTCACCAGGTATCCCACTCTAGTGGGCCTCCTTTCCCATTCTCTACAGCAGCTGCCCTGTGCCTCAACTCCATGACCACCACTGAGGCACACAGAGATAAAATGACCCAGAGGGCTTTTCATTTTCCAGGTTCAATGATTTCATGATAGAAATTACTGACAGATTTTTCAAGTCATTTTCTCCTTCTTCTAGGAAACCCTTTCTGAGTGCTGTCACATTTTGGCAGGGATGGAGGAGAGCTTGGTTGGTCCAGAGATGGATCCTTGGGGATGTCTTGTTGATCAAGCTGCACACTCGCTGGCCTCTTCACTAAGGACACATTCCAATCTGCACTTCCAGGAATAGTTTGAATTCCAAACAGAACTGATTTCTCTTGTCATCTACCTTTGTTCTTCCTTTCCTCAGTTCCTTCCTTCCTCTCCCACTTTTTGCCTCTCCTATCTTTCTACTCCTTTCTCAATCTTCCACCAGGAAGTGTTCTGTGTCAGGTTTCTATTCTCCATCAAGACACCTGTGCCAGAAAGTAACAAAGACAGGGGGCTCTGCCATGAACTGGAAACCCAGAACCTCCTCACTACAAATTACAGTCCATCAATTTTGCAAATGGTGGTTGTTTCTTCCAAGATCCCAGCCCTGATTGGGCAGAGCACAGTAGAAGGGAAGGGACAGGAAGAAGCAACAATATCAGAGGGAAGCTGAGTGAGTTGCAGAATGAGGATGTGGGTTCCACAGAATGGTGGGTAGAGCCTCATCTTGTTTTAGCAGCCCATGGAGGACTTCGGGGATGAGAAATGGGCAGCATATCTGTTTCCCTTCTATTTCCACATCTTCTTTGCATCCCTCACACTCCTTCTCTCCTCTCTTTTTTCTCCTATCTTCATACCAACCAGAGTATCCACTGTTTTATTCAACAATTACTACTTGATGGTCTATCAGACACAAAGAAACAAGCTAGGTGCTAATTAATAATAATATCAGTTTCTATGTGCATACTTCTTTTCCCTTTTCTTTATTGTATTTACTTACTTGTATTTACCCAAGCCTCCAGACCCAGGGGCCAGTCCTCAGGAAAACCAAATACAAAGAAAGACCTTAGTCAGAAAGGCCCTTTGTTTCAGCTCCAGGACCCTCACTACCTCCTTTGCCTTACTTCCTTTGCATGTCTTTTCCCGTATCTCCCCTGTCCTGGGGCTAAGGATCCTAGGCGATCTATTTCCTCCAGGTTTCCAATCCTTCCCAGTCGTAGGGGCTTGTGAAAGAAGCTAAGCCACTCACACAGAATCACCCAGCATTTCCGGGTGCCGTGTAGGTACTGCTCTTTGCCTTTGTAGTAATTCCAGTGACCCAGAAGGCCCTCCTTCTCTCCAAAGCAGAGGTCACAGATGGGGCAACGGTAGATTTTCTGCTTCCAGTGCGTCTGCTGGTGCTTGACCAGCCTGGAGGATGAGGAGAAGGACTTGCCACAATGGAAGCAGCTGTTAAGTTGCTCTGTGAGGTGCACCTTTTGGTGGCTAGAGAGATAGGCCTTCTTGCTAAAAGTCAAGGAACAACGGGAGCAAGAAAAGACCTTGAGTCTTGAGCGCTTCGCTGGAGAAGAGTTGGATCTATGATCAAGGCAGGAGTGTCTGTTGCTGGGTGACTGGGTCTTGGTCACAGGTGCATGGTTCTTACCTATGGGTGCCTGGGTCCTGGTTACAGGCCCCTCAGTTCTAAATATGGGTTCCTGGGTCCTGGCCACTGATGCACAGTTCACATCTACAAGTCTCTGTATGAGCCTCTGGCGCTTAGCAATGGGAACTGTGGTGCCTGAAATCTTCACGGTACACTCCTGGTTCCTAGCCACTGGTTCCTGGTTTTGGTGTGTCTTTAGGTGACGTTTGACCTCAGACTGATCCCGGAAGCACTTTCCACAAACAGGGCATGAATGGGGTCGATAGCCCAGATGAACACGTCGGTGACGGCTCAGTCCAGAAGCATCACAGTAGGTCTTGTCACAGAGTGGGCAACAAAAAGGTCTCTCCACATGATACAGACTTCTATGGTAGCTGAGGGCCTTGGGGTTCCAAAACAACTTCCCACACTGGTTGCAATGTAGGTGGGAGCGCTTGGTGAAACATTTGTCACATGTTTGGCAGAAAAAGGGTGGTTCAGCATGGGATGCTTGGGAAACTGGGGTCTTGTGCACAGACCCAGCTAGAGCAGAGAGTGGGCTCTGGCTCTTTCTTGCCCCCTTGTAAGCAAGAGAGACCTTCTTGCTGCGGCTAGTCCTCTCACCTCTCAGATTCAGATTTCCTTTTCGATGTTCCTCCTTTTCACCTCCTACAGTGAAAAGAGAAAGAATAAGACAAGATTCACTATGAGAAGCTTTCCCTTCAGTGCAGGCCACTTCCCCTTTCCACCATCCCTTTCCCACCCAACACATTCACCCCACCCTTAGACCTTATAAGATGGAGATAAGAAAAACTTTAGGCTTTTCAAATCATAAGCAAATTTTTTTTTTTTTTTTTTTGTGAGACTAGGGTTTGAATTCAGGTCTTCACACTTGCAAAGCAGGAGCTCTACCACTTGAGTCACACCTCCAATCCATTTTTCTCTAGTTATTTTGGAAATGGGGGTCTTAGGCCCTTGCTGGCCTCAAACCACAACCTCAATCTCAGTCTCCTAAACTGGTAGTGAGCTCCGCACGTTGCATAAGTAAATAAAATTTTAACTGGAACCTTCTAACAATGTCAGATATCTAATTTCTAACTTCCAACCACATTTCTTGAAATCCATCTTCCCTCTCTTTCAATATTGTTCACACTCCCACAGACATCCCACAATATACAGTAATCTCTCTTATCCATGACTTTTCATTATTAACAGTCAACCATAGTCCAAAAATATTATATGGAAAATTTGGTGTTTCCAGAAAGACCACATTCACATAATTTTAACTTGTACTATAGGTCTGTATAGGCAGGAAAAAGCACAGTCTATACAGGGTTTAGTATTATTTGTGATTGTGGTCCCAGGCATCCACTGAGGGTTTTGGAACAAATCCCCTGTGAAAATTGGGACACTTGAGACTAAAAGAGATGTTATTAATGATCAAGCTGGATGAGAAGTATAAACCAGGACTGTCCTAACGAACTGGGAGGTATGGTCAGCCTGGCTTGACATCTCTCTTAACTACTTACTCTTGTCCCAGGAACAAGTCACCAATCATCATCAAGCTGCTTCTCTTTTCTCTTGGAAAGTACTCTTTAATCAATAAGCAACCCTCATGTAATCTCTCACTTCCTACAAACTAAAAGACACTCTCTTGTCTTGAAAGGCTTAGATACTCATCATGAAGGCAAGGGACTTGAGCCTTTGAGCTTCAAGTCTGACCAGGCTGGAAAAGGTATACACTATGAAGGATATACAATCGCTCTCCATCCTTCCAGGGATTGTCCTAAGCCACAATTATTTCACCACCTTCTTTGCAATTAAAAAAAAAAGATTAGCAAAGATTCATATAGTAACGCAGGGAGAAATAGAAAGGAGCACCTCATGCCCTGCAGGGGTTGGGAGCAGAGAGGCTCTACTTTGTAATCTTACCTGAAGGGGCACATGGCCTGTTTAGGAGGCAGGGATCTGCTCTCCGCTGTCCCTCTTCTTGCTCAAGTTTGGTGATCAGGTCTAGTAAAGGAAGAAATATTCTGGCTGATGAGTGGAAATGAGATAATTGCAATGACCCCAGGTTCAGCCCATTCACATCTGATGGGGACAACAAACTATGGTGTGTGCCTGCTTTAAGAACCTTAATCTAGGTCACTTAAGAAGACATTCAAAAGACCAGCTCCTAGCAAAGTGCCTGGTACACAGAGTGACTTAGTCAATCCTGATTGGATGAATAGATAAATTTGCATATTTTGAGAATGTTTTCATCTTGTTACAAGGATTATCTTTGCCTTTGCCTTCATGTGAGTTTTCATTTCTTCTTTTAGTGACCGTAAGTGTCTCTAGAGGTCAGTGAAGCTAATTGTGAGCTGATCTACCTGCCCAGAGAAACGAGATATTCTAGGGCCCAGGGCAGGCAGGATGCCTGAGGGACCCCAGGCTCTTACCCACAGATGCCAGGTTCTTTAAGGTTTCTGACATAACATCCTGGTAAAGGGTCCTCTGACTGGGATCCAGACATTCCCATTCTTCCTGGGTGAAATTCACTACCACGTCCTCAAAGGTGACTGGCATCTGGAAGGCAGGACAGACTTGGGTAGTGCACAAACACACAGGGACTGGCGTCTGGTACTGAGGTTCAGAGAGCTGAGTCTGAGAGAAAAGCGAAACCAGGGAAGGAAGAGTGAAATATGAAGACAGGCACAAGGCCAGCAACTGTGACCTACAGAGAGGAAAGGAAGGATGCAGAGAAGGGAAGAAAGATATAACCGAAAAGGAAGGGCAAAACATCAACTATACACAGGAAAAGAGAAGCCCAGGGAAAGCAGCTGTCACCCTGACAAATCTCAGGAAGCACTCCTCAAACATGGCATGGGAAACAGAAAAAAGTCTGAGTGCCTTTTTTCTGTTGTTAGGTCTGAAACAATCTGAAATTCACTAGACCCCACAGAGGAATGGATGAAAGAGCTCCTGAAGTCTAGGTCCTGGTGCCTCCCTCTCTCTAGCTTGGTCCCCTCACCTTCACCCAGGCTTTCTACCAGCAGTCTCTCTTCTTGGCTTCCCACAGTGCTACTGCCACCCTCACCTGCCTGACGGAGCAGCACCTTCTCTTCTTTGGTGTCTCTTTCTAGCTTTATCCTGGCCTGGCCCTCAGGGTCAACTGGACTCCTTCTTGGGGCTCTCTACCTCCAAGAAACCAGACAGATGGAGAGGGCCTGAAATGGCCATGGTGTTTGCTATGGCTTCCTGTGACAAATGTGTCTGTCCTAAGGGGCTGTCTTCCTTGTTTGTTCTGCTGTCCAAATTCTCCTCTTTCAAAACTGGGAGCATTTTTGGTTCCCCTAAAGCCTAGGCCACAGAGTTTAGGGACCAGGTTCCCTTGGCTCAACTGCCATTGTCCAGTAATGCCAAGTTATTAATAACCCTCTGCTCTGTGTCACTGAATCCTCTTGGCAATGCCCAGTGAGGCAACAAGTTCTGGTTCCATCTTAAGGAACCTCAAGTGCAGATATACTGAGTGACTTGTTTGAACACTTTTTTTTTGTTTTGTTTTTTCTTTTTTGTGGTACTAGAGTTTGAACTCAGGGCCTACATCTTGAGCCAGCCAGCTTCCCTTTTTCTGTGATGGGTTTTTCAAGACAGGGTCTCACAAACAATTTGCCCAGGCTAGCTTCAAACCACAACCTCCTGATCTCTGCCTCCTGGGTAGCTAGGATTACAGAAGTGAGCCACCAGCACCCAGGCTCAAGGTCACTCTTGATCAACAGGAAAGACAGTGTTTGAACCCCAGACTCAGCATCATATTTCTTCCAGGACCAAAAAAATATATGCTTTTGTGCCTTAGGTTTTTTGTTTTTCTTTTGGGGTGTGTGTGTGTGTGTGTGTGTGTGTGTGTGTTATTAGACATCAAACCCAGGGCCTCACCCATGCTAAACAACTGCTCTATTACTGAGCTACACTCCCAGCCCTGTGACTTGGTTTGCTCCTCAACTTAAAATGGGGTTTTGTCCTGATAAGCCCATGCTAAGCTAAAAGTATCACTAAGTTAGAACATCCCAGCTTAGCAACACAGCACGCTGTAGCATACATGCTGCTTCCCCTCTTGATCTCATGCCACTGCCCAGCATGAATAGAATATCAGAGTATCCTTTGTACCACCTATTGCTAGGACCACCTATTGGGGACAATAGGTCAAATTTAAACTCCGATACTTTGGATGTCAACTAAATGTGTCCACCACTGTAAAGTAGAAATATTCTAAGTTGACCCTTGTAAGTCAGAGTTCATATATACAGCTAGATCTCTGTAAAGAATATTGACAACAATCCAACAGCACCCACCTATTCAGGGCTCATAATGAGCAGGAACACTGGACATCCCTGCTCACCTTGAAGTTTCTGCTCTGACACAAACATGGCTAAAGTCTGCCCCTGCCTGCTGACAGCCACTCACCCACATCTTCCCTCCTTCCAGATACAATGAAAAGCATAAACACATAAAAACCTGTTGACTTTTTTCTTTCACCTTTTTGGAAGAGTAACCAATTGAAATACAAGCAAGGAAGTTGAGACTAGTTAATTTTTTTTTCCTGGTGGTACTGGGGCCTCACACTTGCTAGGTAGGCACTCTACCACTTGAGCCCACCAACAAGAAATAGTTAATTGGGGCCCCAAAAATTTGTCATGAAAACTGCATTCCTAAGATGTAAGTAAAGTTGATTTTCTTTCTTCCTCCCTCCCTTTCCTTCCTTTCCCCACATTCATGATCTTTTTGTGAAGTTGCAGATTTAGAATTATTCTCTCATTTTCCAGCCAACCACACTTCAATTTTCGTTAATAGTGTCCTCAAAGACCTGGCCTTCCGCTTCTCCAGGAGATTAGAGCCACTGTTCTCAAAATGGTATTAGCTGAGGATGTCAGGAAAGGGTCTGTGGGGGACTTACCATCTTCCAGTCTGAGTCTGTTCAATCTCTCTCCAACCCCAAATCCTTCAATGGCTTCCCACGCGATTCTGAGATGGGCCGAAACCCCCACAAAATCCGGCAAGGTTTTGTGGGATCTGCTCTTGCCGCCCCAACCTGGGTATTCAGCCACGTGAGCTTTTCACTCCGCATTCAACTAAAACGGTCCAGGTACACTCGTCCGTCTAGCGCCTGCCTTCACGGATCCTGTCCCGCCACTGCCCTGCCCCGCCGCGCAGAACGCGCCTCCCGGGGGGCGCTCGGCGCTTACCCTATTGCCACTGCGCATCCAGCTCCCGCACCCCGGCCTGGAGGCTTCCGGCAGGCAAGAGCTAAGGTCCTTCCGCGCGTCTCTGCCCCGCACAGCAGGCGCCACTAATGTTCGCAGAACGCCCAATGGACTCAGAAATAGTCCCATCGACGAGGACGCGGTGCCCCGTGCCCGTCCGCCCAGAAACTTCCTTTCTGAGATCCCGACTCTCAACACGTGCCGGGCGCCCTTCCTTCCTTCCTTGGTGTCCAGTCGCCCGCGATGGGGGGCGGACAGCGCACCGACCACAGTCCCGGCTAACACAGATTTCCCCGAGGAATGCCAGAGATTGGAAGTTCCCCAAGATTGGGCGCAGTCTCCCCTAGCGTGGCGGAGTGAGGGGGGGAAAAAGTACTGGGGGAAGCCTTGATCACCCGGAGCGCGATTCCCACCCACGCTACTCACCCTCCGCGCGCAGCGCACAGAGACTTCGCGCGTGGGTACGGGGTCTTTGGTTGGAGCGCTTGCGCCCAAGATCGTAGTCCGTGGGTCCGCGGTCCCGCCCAGCCCCGCCTACTTCCGCTTCCTCCAAGTCCACGGGCCACTGCGTACCTTGCCCGGTGACCCGCCAATGGCGGTGGTCCAGACAAGGTCAAGAATTTGCATCCTAAGACGCCTAAAGCCTTTATTACTCTTGGGAAACAATGACGACTAAATTATATTTGCTTAAAAGGCACACGTTCACTAAAAACTTTTGGGCTCAGTGAACTCAAAGGAAAAAATGGAAACTTCATAGACCCTCAGAATAAGACTTGGAGCCAAACAGAATCTTAGAAAAGTAAAAGCCAAAGAGGGGTAAACCATGCAACTTCACGCACAAATACCAGCGAGGACCACGCCAAGGTCAGTCTCTCTCAGTGATCGTTTTTCTTTTAATCAGCTCACATGAAATCACAACACTTTTTTTTTCTTAGCACTTACTATAGTTCATTTTATATTATGATTGTTATTTATATTTCGCATTGGCATATTTTACAGTTTACAAAATGTTTTTGTAAACATAGACCCCGTTGAATACTCACAATTACCTATGAGGTAAATATTGCTTTTCCAGTCTTCTTGTGTGTGTGTGTTGGTACTGGAATTTGAACTCAGAGCTTGAGGATTTCTGGGCAGGCGCTCTAACACTTGAGCCACTCCTCCAACCTATTATTCTCTATTTTTGCGGGGCAGGTGAGGAAACAGGTTCAAAGAGGTTGAGCCTTGTCAAAGACCATATCTCACTGCACCAGACTTGATGCCAGACCCTCTGCTTTCACATCTCCACTCTGATGTATTGGTTCCATGGGTGGCTGGCAGGTTCAGGTTTTAAACCTCAGTGTTTTCAAGGTACCTGGTACAGTGTTCTGCCCCTTGCAAGCAGACAATGGATGTCTGTGGTTTCAGGCAGTCAGAGCAAGAGAGCTGGTGAGGAAGGTGGTGGGAAGCACATAAAGCACTGGGTTGAAGCTATCATGTAGATTACCACTATCTTCAGACCCACAGGAAACAGACTGGAGATGAGCCATATAGCCCAGGTTGGCCTTGAACTCTTGATCTTCTGCCTCAGACTCCCAAGTGTTGGGATTAACAGATGTGCAGCACTGTGCCTGGCTCCTGATCCTCAATTTTTGAGAATCAACTAGAAGAGAAGAGATGACAAGGATCTAGACATTGTGGTTGTACCTACCATCTTGCCCAGTAGGTGGCCCTGGCACACATTCCAAACCCTATGATATAAAGTCATTAAGCCAGCCCAGGGTTTTATGATGGCTAACGACCCCTGAACATTTTTCTGACATTTGACATGTTAATAATTTTTGAGACAGCCCAGGTACATTCCAGCTGGCTACAGCCACCTTTATCTGGCTTAGCATATGAACTACTTACAGGGTTGCAGGAATCCTTTTGTCTTGCTGCTGTCCAAGAGACACTTCTGTCTTGAATAAACTGCATTCTGTATAATCCTGAAATTTGTCTCCCTCTTTCTTTAGTTCCAAGCACTTTCTGTCTTCTGCTTTTCTACACCAGGGTTCTCCAGAAACAACTTGATTCAGAGAATGCAAGAAAAATCTCTGGTACAGAATGTGCTTATCTCCAATACTAAAAAAGCCATCAGATGTGTGGTTTGTCATTGTGGGTCATATAATGTCAGTGATTTCCTAGGGGAGTTTGTAAGCTCAAACCCTACACCTACTCTTACTTCAGGTTGAGAAATTTGAATAGGGAGCCACTACCCGGGTCCATATTAGTATCACAAAATCAAATCATAGAATGTGATGATTTCTTCCAAAAATCCTCTTTCAGCAGGACTTGTAGCAATGGTGGTAGGAAGACACAGGCGTGTTTTCCTTTTAAAAAAAATGGACAAAAACATTAACCAATATTTGCCAGACACAGGTAGCTAACGCCTGTAATTCTATCTACTTAGAAGGCAGAGATCAGGAGGATCATGGTTTGAAGCCAGTCCAGGCAAATAGTTCCTGAGACCCTATCTCAAAAAAAAAAAAAAAAAAAACCTCCAAAACAAAAAAACACAAAAAAAGGGCTGGGGGAGTAGATCAAGGTGTAGGCCCTGAGTTAAAAAAAAAAATGAGGTCACTAGAAAATAAAGGAAGGGGAAAATAAGAGAAAAGTTTTAATCTTGAGAAACTACTACTAAGTTGGTCAAGAGCTGCAAGTTTGTGATAACTGCAGTGGTTCTAAGATTCACAGCATACAGCACAGAGTAATAGGATATTGGGGTGGGTAAGGGGGGCAATTTGAAGGTGAAGGATGAACAGAATTGAGATCCAAAATCTGAATATAAACTCTGTCCAAATCCAAGGTTGACAACTAAAGTATGTATGGTTATGGGACACCCTGGAAAACCTAATGAAAAGCAAAGAACCTAGTGGGAGGCCTGTATACACTTAAAAGGCAGATTTGTCCTGGTGAAATCTGTAAATCTGCACCTTTAATATTCCCCCAATCATCACACAGCTTGGGAGCAGACATCAAGTCTTAATGTTTTAAGGTACCAACTGTCAAAATTTCTAGCTATTAGTACACTTGGAAATTTAGGAGAAAAACAAGGCATCCACAGAGAGGATGAGTCACAAAATCGGAGTAGAAGCTGTCCTGTCCTTGACTGGCCAAACAGATTCAGAGTAAATCACCCCCGATCCAGGCCCAAAATGTAGCAACCAGACATGGGAAAAATATAGCAGGGATATCAGCCACGAAGCATCTCAGGGTTAGCAGGTTTTTCCAGACAGGTGAACTACTTTCAAGGAAAGAAAGAAAAAAGAGAGAGAAGGAAAGGGAGGAAAAAAAGAAAAAGAGAAAGGAAAAAACTCAGCAATCCTAAGACTACTTAGTTTTCAAATGTGTTAAAATATAACATCCTTGATGTCAGCTTTTCAGTTAAATATTACCAGATGTGCAAAGAAACAGGAAAATGTGACTATGGGGAAAAAATCAATAGAAATGTACTTCTAATGGAACAGATGCTGATTTTAGCACCAAAAGACTTCAATATAGTATACAATGTAAATTCAAAGAATTAATTGAACTATGTTGAGGAAATTAAAGGAAACCTTGGTATTAAAGAGTGAAAAGATAGGAAATCTGAGCAAAGAAATGAAAACTGTAAAAAGGGCAAAATAGAAATTCAAGAACTGAAAGTATGGGGTTTAGAGAGCTTTCAGCATGGAGATCAAAACACATCCACAGCCCAGGAGGGTGATATCCCCAACTCCGTGTGTCCAAAGCTCCTGTGCTCAAGACTTTTTGAACCTCACCCTATGTCTCTCTTCATCTGGCTGTCCACTTGTACCCTTTTCTAATAAATGAGCAAATCCAAGTAAAGTGTTTCCCTCAGCTCTGTGAGTCATTCTACAAACGGTTGAATCCAGGGAGGGTATTGTAGAAGCTTCTGACTTACAGCTGATGGTCAAGAAGCACAGGTTAGGGCTGGTGGAGTGGCTCAAGTGGTAGAGCACATGCCTAGCAAGCATGAGGCCCTGAGTTCAAATCCTAATACAACCCCTTCCCCCCAAAAAGGCACAGGTTAAACACCTTGGGACTTGTGACTAGTATCTGAACAGAGCCGTTATCTATGGGGTCTGCACGAATTCCACTTACCGTAAGAACTGAATTGAGTTGAAGGACACCCACCTGATGTCCTGAGATGGATTTGAGAGTGGGACTGTCAAACTGCAAAGAACAAAACCCCAGAATCAGGGACCATAATTAACCCTTTGTGGGCAGCACAGGCCTTGCCTCAACTCCCCTATAGGGCCCTTGAGTCTTCCTGCTGATCTGCATGAAGAAATGCAGGGACTGAACCTAGAGGAGGGAGAATGTCCTAAATTTCCCCTTGATTTGTCATCTTTTTGTCCCTTTATCTGTGAGCAAATTATACCATCCCTGTAAGTACATAAAATGACCCATAACTTAAGGGTAATTTATTGATCAGTTATAAAACTGACACCTTTATAACCACTGTCCTTTTTTAAAATAAATTAACAACAACAATAAAACCAGCACCCAAGCCAGAAGCCTCTGAACCTCTTCCCAACAGAACCCATTCCTCTTAAACAGATGTCCACTGACCTTGACTTTTTGGTCTCCTTCCCTATGATGTACCTACTCCGCACTCACCCCTTTGGTCTCACTATATTGACCAAGTTGGTCTCAAACTCTTGATCCTCTTGCCTCAGCCTCACCAGTGCTGGAAGTACAGCACCACCATGCACAGCTATGTCCTTGCTTCTCTATTTTGACTTCTCTACTTCCTCCTAGGCCAGTGCCCTGGGAGCATCCTCAACCCTCCACCTCCCAGTAGTGGAGATTTCAAGGTTGGATCCAAGAAGGAGGCGCTTTCATCTCTGAAAGCAGCGGCAGAAACAAGTGGCAGTATTTTGTGGGTTACTCCCCCAATGTGGGAACCAACTGTTATAACCTGGATACCTCTGGAGACCAGAGTCCATCATGACCCAATGGAGAGGAAACGTCTATGTCAACGTGGATTTGGGAAACACTTCATACTCAAGAGTCTGACACCCCTTTGTGTACACAGCCCTGTCCAGTTGACAGAAGCTCAGGTTGATCCTGGGGAGGTCCTGATTTGGGGAGGTGAAAGGGGAACTCCGACTTCGGTCCTTAACCCCGTGGCCACACGGGGGCGCTGCCGCTCAGCCCTATCGGATTCTGATTGTGCAGCCCGGAGAGGACTGGACAGTGTGGTTGGAAGTACTCAGAGTCAGCTGGCACGGAGGCTGGGTGTCCATGTGGGAGGGAGGATACTTCTGAGATCTTGGACTGCTCAAAAAGTGGAAGAGAGGAGAGCTCCTTGAAGGAATCCTGCCGTACCTTCGAGGATTCCATCACTACTCCTTACAATTCCTCTTCTCCAGTGCCTTGAGGATAACTGTGGAAAACTGCAAAGTAGGTATTTTTACTTCCTCTCCCTATTTCTTTTCTGAAGATGTGTGCGCGCGCGCGTGTGTGTGTACATAGCTGGGGATC